TGATTTAAAGTTGGAATTTCAACATTGAAACTAATGAGCCAAACTGTGCCTATAGTTGAGCTGATGAGTTATTCCAGATCAGCTATTTTAATTAGGGTTTTATTTTAACCCCAGGTTTGTATTCATTGCAGTTCAGAATTTACGGAATAACTCTGTCTACTAGTAAGTAACCCTGACACTGTATACAAGTAAATGTGAAGGAATGCACCACATTGACTCTACTCCTGTATGTTAGACAGATGCCTTTGATACAGCATGGACAAGATATGATACATATACAGTTCATTCAAACCAACTGCAGGAGATAACACAATATGCATATTTGCTGTATAACTGATTGTTGAAGTTTATAATCCAGAAAAGTGAGTCAACCAAGTCACACATAGGAAATAGGGTAAGACTCTGCCTTCTGCTTAAAGTAATTCAAACTCATTGTTTCTCTGCACCCGACCAGCAACAGATTCTTAAAAGAGTAACCACAAAAAAAGATACTTTCATGGTGTGGCGGGAACAGTGCCATGGGGGGTTTATATGGTATTGTTATAAAAGTACGCTCAATTCTTCTGCAATGACTTCTCACTGATTATCATAAATAGCAGAAACTAATCTTTCATTCATGGAGCAGGTTCCATCTGCCCTCAGCATTTGGTTACTAAAACATCCAAAAGGCACGAACCTCCCCTTGCACAATATCGGAAGTTTATATAGCCTGCACGTCTATAAACTTTGTAAAGAAACACAAACAGGGCGAGGATTAACATAACTTACTTGTGTCCGAAGCAAACAGATTTCTTTCACTTCTACGGATCAGAATCAAATGATTTTTTTTCCAAGCAGTAGGTCATAACTTCTATAGATGAAAAAAAATTAAGAACAGCAACGAAAAAGTCTTTTATGTAAATAATTGTAATAAATAAGTTTGCAAATTGTTTGTTAAAAACCAGATGATTATTTGTGTCTTAAGTGTAAATCCCATTCACGGCCAATCCACCAAGCACCCGAGGTGAGATTACCAATTCCTCTGAAATAGCAAAGGCAGAGGTAGTGCTTAAAACATGATATAAGATAAGTGATGGTCTAACACATGGGACACCAACCTATGGCCAACGTGCCGTATAAACCCAATACTTGCAAGTGCCAAGCCCGCAAATGCAGGATTAGGATGCAAAAACTTTCACTATGGCAGAGCAAACACCTGCTTACCCTCACGACAGATGTCTGCTCTCTTTGCTGGTGAATTAATATTTTTGGGGACAGCCTATGTAATCGTCAGAATTATATTTTTTGCTTTCTCTCTTTTGTTTACATCATGTGAACGCATGAAGTGCTAAGCACAATTAATTGGTCTGCACTTGTCCTACGTTCCTTAGACTACATGTCAATCATGACCATGTGATCGCGATCATGATGCCTACATACACTTCAGGAAAATATAGTTTTCCCCCCATATATCAATCAGAGGTGGCTCTCTAATTAGGCGGTTTAGGCGGCCGCCTAAGGCCTTGCGCTGGCTGGGGCCTCGCGGCTGCTTAAACCGCCTGTGGGCAGACTGTGTCAGGTCCTCGGTCAGTGACCGAGGACCTGACACCAGGAGGGGGCCCGCCGGCTTGCCCGGTATGCCGCCGGGTGCGAGGCCCCTCCTGGCTGCCCGGCCAGCCACCGCAGACACAGGTCTGCAGCTCTGCAGTGAGCAGAGCTGCAGACCATGTGTCTCGCGAAAACAGGCCAATCAGAGCGTTGCCACGGGTTACCATGGCAATGCTCTGATGGTCTTGCAAGATTAGATGGTTTGCAGCTCTGCGGAGCTGCAGACCAGAAGCAATGGCCACCAGACCACCAGGGAGCCCACTGGACCACCAGGGAAATTAAGGTAGGTTCTCGCTCACCCCCCATCCCCCTCAGCCTCCCCACCAGCCTCACCACCCTCAGCCTCACCACCACCCTCATCATCACCACCACCCTCAGCATCACCACACCCCACCACCCTCTGCCTCACCACCACCTTCAGCCTCACCACCCCACCACCCTCAGGCTCACCACCACCCTCAGCATCACCATCCCCCACCACCCTCTGCCTCACCACTCAGCCCCTCTGCCTCACTCACCACCCCCACCCTCACCACCACACCTCAGCTCCTACCCCCTCCTTCACCACAGTCACCACCCCTCACCACCCTCACCTCACCTCACCACCCTCAGCCTCCTCACCACCCCATCACCACCCCTACTCACTCCCTCAGCTCCCACCTCCCACACCCTCAGCTCGCACCCCCAGCCACCACCCCTCAGCCTCATGCCTCACCACCCCTCAGCTCACCCCCACTCACAAGCTCACCCTCCCCACACCACTTCACCCCCCACCACTTCAGCATCACCCCTCACACACCAGCATCACCCCCACACCACCCTCAGCATCTCCACACCCTCATATCCTCTATCATCAACATCAACCCCTCCTTCCTCACCTCACATCATCCCCCACTTCCATCACCCTCTCATCACCCTCTCACACATCACCCCCTCATTTCATCACTCCTCCCTCACTCTCCACATCACCTCACACATCACCCCTCACTCTCACATCCTCCTTCTCACATCACCCTCCTCCTTCTCACTTCACCCCCCTCACTCTTACATTACCCCCCTCACTCTCACATTACCCCCTCTCCCTCTCACCATCACCAACCCCCCCATACATACAACACACTTCAAGCAGCTACCCCATACAGTCTCAGACAAAAACGCAAGCATGCTCACAGAGACATACATTCACACACACGAGGATACTCTCTGTCAGACACACTCTCAGGCACATACAGAGGTAGACAGTGCCTCAATGTGTATATGTGACACTTTTTTGTGAGTGGGGCCTCATGTTTGAGTTTCGCCTAAGGCCTCATAAGCCGCCTCTGTTCTCTTGGCTTGTCTGTCACAGTGTACTGATTAGTTGGCTTACCTGCAAACCAATCAGAGCACTCTAACTTATATTGCATAGCGTAGAGAATTTTCCCATGCAATGTAATAGCTGAAATAGTCTGATCAGGGGTCCGGTTGGGTGCTGTGGCCCTTTAGCAGCTCTACCAGCCCCATTCATATTGTCATTTAGTGCTGGGAGGAAGTGATTACCTATTGATTTCTCCCAGCTTACAGACTGTGCAGGTTAAGAGAAAGGGGGAGACATGGAGAGCAGAGGAGGGAGCACATTTTAGACAGCCTGGGCAAACTCAGACTCCCATCAGCCTCAGAAAGCCCAGGGAAGCCATGCTTCTGCACCTAAAAAATATTAAAGCAGGGGGGTTGCAAAGAATATGTGACTGTGCATGCACACTGATACATATGTGTATTTATCCATTGGTGTATCTGTTTGTGTGTCAGTGTATGTGTATGTATGTGTCTGTGTATTTATATGTTTGAATATGTGTGTGTCAGTGTGTGTATCTGTCTGTGTGTCAGTGTGAGTGTATGTGTTTGTGTATGCATATATTTGTATCGGTGTGTGTGTCAGTTAGGGTATATGTTTAACTATGTTTTGTTAGTGTGTGTATCTGTGTTTCTATGTAAGTACATGTCTGTATCTGTGTGTTAGTGTGTTTCTGCATGTGTGTGAGGGTAGGTATATGTGTGTATCTGTGTGTGTCAGTGTGTATTTTTAGGTATATGCTTGTATTTGTGTGTTTCAGTGAAGGTATATATGTGTGTCAGTGTATATATGTATCTATGTGTTATTGTGTATCTGTGTAACTGTGTGTGTGTCCACAGATGTATATGTGGATACATCCCAGAATTCAAACATCAACAACACAAACACACTACATACAAACTCACCCCTGTATTAAAACACCAACACTATATACAAACACACCCTTGCATTCAAACACGAAAACTACAAACAAGTACACCATTGCTTTCAAGTGGTTACAATACATATTAATACACAACTGCATTCAAATGCCAACACTAAACACAAATAGAGCCCTACAACCACACACATACTCCATACAAAAATATTCTTATATTCAAACACACAAACACTGCTCACAAATGAAACCATGTAAGAACAGGCAGATGGCAATGCATCGTGGGAGATGGACTACCAGTGGAAATCTACCTGTTTGCAAACGTCTTACACCAGGACCATCTCTACATTAGTTCCACCACTGTACACAATCATACACTCACAAACACACACAATTACACACACTAGTGCCTGTAGTGTTTAAGTCATCGGCGTACAGGGGTCGCAGGGGTCACAGTCAGGGGCGGACTGACCGGTCGGGCACTTCGGACACGGTCCGAGGGCCCGGCCGGGAGGGGGGCCCGCCGCCAGGGCCGCCTTCAGAGGGCCCGGCGGCAGGGCTGGATTGGGGGCGGCATTTGGGGACTGCAGGTGCCACCGGGTGGCCGGCCCGGTGGCACACTGTGAGGGGGGAGCGGCCGTTTGATGCTGCAGCCGCCGGACCGGGTAGCAGCCTCGCCGGTCCGGCGGCATTCCTCTGACTAACACTGGAGGAGGAGGAGGAGGAGGAGGAGGAGCATGTGTCTCGGTCATGCTCCCTGCGGTTCCCACAATTCCCAGCACAGGATGTGGGAACCGCAAAGGAGCATGACAGACACATGCTCCTCCTCCTCCTTCAGTGTTAGTGAGAGGAATGCCGCCGGACCGGCGGCTCCAGCATCAAACGGCCGGCCCCCTCAGACTTTTAGTAAGTGGGGGGAGAGATGTGAGGGAGAAAGAGGGGACAGAGAGATGGGAGGGGGGAGAAAGAGGGGGAGAGAGAGATGGGAGGGGGAGAGAGAGGGGGGGAGAGATGGGGAGGGGGGGGAGAAAGATGGGGCAATAGAGAGATGGGGAGTGGGGGGAGAAAGAGGGGGGACAGAGATGGGGGGGAGTGGGGAAAGAGGGGGGAGAGAGAGAGATGGGAGGGGGGGAGAGAGAGGGGGAGAATGGGAGGGGGAGAAAAGATGGGGCAATAGAGAGATGGGGAGGGGGGAGAAAGACGGGGACAGAGAGATGGGGAGGGGGGAGAAAGATGGGGCAATAGAGAGATGGGGAGGGGGAGAAAGACGGGGACAGAGATGGGGAGGGGGGAGAAAGAGGGGGAATAGAGAGATGGGGAGGGGGGACATAGAGATGGGGAAGGGGGAGAAAGGGGGGCAATAAAGAGATGGGGAGAAAGAGAGGGAAGAATGAGACACAGGGGGAGACAGAGAGGGAAGAATGAGACACTGGGAGAAAGAGGGGGAATAGAGAGATGGGGAGGGGGAGAAAGAGACAGAGAGGGAAGAATGAGACACAGGGGGAATAGAGAGATGGGGAGGGGGGAGACAGAGAGGGAAGAATGAGACACGGGGAGAAAGAGGGGGAATAGAGAGATGGGGAGGGGGAGAAAGAGACAGAGAGGGAAGAATGAGACACAGGGGGAATAGAGAGATGGGGAGGGGGGAGACAGAGAGGGAAGAATGAGACACGGGAGAAAGAGGGGGAATAGAGAGATGGGGAGGGGGAGAAAGAGACAGAGAGGGAAGAATGAGACACGGGGAGAAAGAGGGGGAATAGAGAGTTGGAGGGGGGAGAAAGAGAGGGAAGAATGCCCCCCCTCCCCTGTCCGCAGGCACCGTGCGGGCAGGGGAGGAAGAGAGGACCTGGGAGCTCACCCTGCAGCTCCTCTGGGTCCTTCTTGCGCGAGCACAGAGCGTTGCCGCGGTTACCATGGCAACGTTACTGCTCTTGCGAGAGTCAACTCTAGCCCTGGAGCTACGGGCTAGAGTTCACTCTCAACACTGTAACCCCCATGGATTCCTGGTGGTCGCAGTGGTGAGAGTGAACTCTAGCCCCATAAACACACTGCCCCCACACACACACCATACACATTCACACACTGCCCCCATACACACCATACACATTTACACACATTGCCTCACACACACACATACACTGCCCACCCATATACACACAGACCCCCATACACAGCCCCCCATACTAACATTGCCACACACATACACTGCCCACACACCCTACACATTCACACACTACACCCCCACACACACACTGAACCTTTCACACACATTGCACCACTGCTCCTATTCCCTACTACAGCCTCATATCCCAGCAGACCCCAGGTAAGTTGTCAAACTGTTCTTAAACGGTTTGACTACTTACTCTGGAGCAGTAGTGGTTATTGTGCATGGATTATTTCTTTAAATAATCTACAAGTGCCCCAGTAGCCAGCCAGCCAACCCACAGGCTGGCCAGTAGCCAGCCAGTTAGCCAGCCCACAGTAGCCAGCCAGTTAGCCAGCCCACAGGCCAGTAGCCAGCCCACAGGCCTACAGCAAGCCACAGGCTTACAGCCAGCAAGCCACAGCCTGCCAGCCGCAGCCTGCCAGCCGCAGTCAGCAAGCCCACAGCCTGCCAGCAAGCCCACAGCCTAGCCAGCAAGCCCACAGCCTGCCAGCCGCAGCCAGCAAGCCCACAGACTGCCAGCCAGCAACAGTAATTAAGGTAAGAGGAGCCAACTTGGCTTAGGTATCAGCGAGCTATGTTGTGTTGCTATATTGTGAATAGGAACCAGAGTGTTGGAGAGACCACCCTCCAGGCCCCATTAGACTCTAGCCTCTGCTAGAAATCCCCTCCATGGCCCATTAGCCCTCAATTGTAGTTTCTACTGGGGCCTGGAGGCGACTGTTTCCAGCAGGGGATATCTAATGGACGCTGAGATGGCCTCTGTTAGAAAGACCCCCTTCCAAGCCTTTTAGACTCCATTGTAGTCTCTAATGGGGCTTGGAGGGGATTCTATCTAACACACTCTCTAAAGGACACTGAGATAGCCTCCGCTAGAAAGACCCCCCTCCATGGCCCATTAGCCCTCAATTGTAGTCTCTACTGGGGCCTCGAAGGGCTTATTGCCCTTTTGTTCCTTGTGTCTAAAGATTGTGTAGGGTGTGGCTGGAGGCGGTGCATGGAGGCGGGACAAGGGTGGCGCTTGCTGCAGAGTATGGGTGGGGCCTGTAAGGGGGCCCTTGATTTATTTTGCCCGGGGGCCCTGAGGGTTCTCAGTCCGCCCCTGGTCACAACTGCGACCGGGCAGGCCCTGCGGACCACTGTGACCGGGTATCTGCTGCCAGGGCCGCCGTCCAACGGGTCCATCGGGTGGCCCATGCTGTCAGGGCCACCGGATGGATGTGGATTGTCAGGGGGCCCGGTCAGCGCTGGGCACTTTAACAGCACGACCGGGCCCCCTGTGATTACATCACAAGCTGGGAGGAAGTGACCGCACATCACTCCTCCCAGCTAACAGCCACGCGGGAGATAGACCAGTATCATTTTCACACCGTGGGCACCAGGGCCCTATGGTTTGTGTGCCTCCTCATTATCACGTGTACAGGGTTATTCAATAAAGTGAGAATTCAAAGGGAATTTCAAATGTAACGCGAAAACAGCTGAAATAAAAACACAATTTAGTTAGAGATTTTTTCTGATTCTGCCTAAATGTTACAATTCACTTTGAATCGCTGGTGATCTTTCCTTTATTGACTAACCCTGGTAGTTTATGGCACAGGTGAACTATAAGATCAGGGTGACCTGTGTCTAACATTACTACAGATGCAGTCTGCTACTAGAAATGGTTGCTGCAAATGCAATGCTCTATGTACAGTGCCAGGGGAGAATCTGTGCAGTTGCCAAACCCAAGAACTATTAGGGACTATGACATATTTCCAGGGAGCTGAACATGGGCTCTTGGCTTGAGATAAAAGTGATAATAGCCCTTCATAAATTTCTTTCTTAGATTACAAGAACAGGGAAGGTTCTGTTTTGAAGGTCATGTCTTGACACATGGAACTTCAGAGATTCATGCAAATTAAATTAACCCTTGTGTGTCAGGAAACAAAATCATTAAGTAAGTACTGAAAATATATTCAGGTCCATTTCCTGCTTACAAAAATAATAATAAGTAATTATGATAACATTTTTGTATACTGTATATTTCAGTGAACGATGATTATTCATGAAACGTAGATTGGTAAATTCTCCATTTTATGTTCACATACAACATTTATGCAGATTTCTTACAGTTCATTGAGATATTAAATATACCAGAAGGCACTTTTTTCTTTTTGCTTCAATTGTGGGGGGGTTGCCTTCTTTTGGAATAGGTTTTTTAAACGTTGAACTTTATGGACTTTAGTCTTTTTTGAAGCTAAATTACTATGGAACTATGGAACACGTACAGCTGATGTCACCGGTAACATTAAAGAATAATGAAACATTCTTAATTCAAGTTAAAGGGACACTCCAGGCACCCAGACCACTTCTGCCCATTGGAGTGGTCTGGGTGCCAACTCCCACTACCCTTAACCCTGAAAGTGTAATTATTGCAGTTTTTTATAAACTGTGGCACAATCCGTTTTCCTGGCACTGCAGGTCCCCTCTCCCTCCCACCCCCATCCCCGGTTGCTGAAGGGATGAAAACCCCTTCAGATCACTTACCTGAGACCCCGCCGATGTCCCTCGGCGGTGGTTTCTTCTCGCTGCCGCTCCTCCCAGTCTTTCCCATGGGGAATTGAGCGATGCTGGAGGTCCTCACACAGCGTGAGGATGTCCAGCGACGCTCTAGCACAGATTTTCTGTTCTATAGAGCAGGAAGTGCCCTCTAGTGGCTGTCTAGTAGACAGCCACTAGAGGTGGAGTTAACCCTGCAAGGTAATTATTGTGGTTTATAAAACCTGCAATAATTACACTTTCAGGGTTAAGGGTAGTGGGAGTTGGCACCCAGACCACTCCAATGGGCAGAAGTGGTCTGGGTGCCTGGAGTGTCCCTTTAACTTGAATTAAGATTGTTTCATTATTCTTTAATGTTACCGGTGACATCAGCTGTACGTGTTGCACAGTAATTTAAAGTTTAAAGTTCAACGTTTAAAAAAAAACGATTCCAAAAGAAGGCAACCCCCCACTATTGAAGCAAAGAGAAAAAAGTACCTTCTGGTATATTTAACTTTATGTTTTACATTTCTTCCTGATTCAAAATGAAAATATACACAGTCTGTTAAACAGTTAGATGTATCTGAATCATCCGATGGAATATACAGCCATCAAGGTACAGTGGAGGCCAGATCATGATGTCTCCACCTGATTCTAAACAGCAGGAAACATAAACAGCAGGAACCCTAAAACGATAGGATTCCCATAGGCATAAACAAGAGACCCATGAAAAAGATATTAGTCATTAGGAAATGACTTCTTTATCAGAGTGCATTAACAACACAGGCTTCTGCCAGAAGCAGTCCCAAACTCAAATGTAACAGCCAAGAGCAGAACTGGAAGTAATTGAGACACTGAGCAAACATGGTTAATTAGTACTTCAAGGCTAATGCTAATAATTGTAACCTATGTATTTGCTCCTTCCTCTGACCACCCACACAAGGAGCACCTGTTATATCTCTGCCCGTTATCCTTCAATTTATAGATGCGATCCTTCTTTATTGAATCCAGCAGGAATCTACAGAGATAGGGAGCATACTTATAAGTTGCACTTGCCAAATAATGTGGATGAGTTAAAGGACTTCTCGAGACACCATAACAACTCCATTAGAATGAGGTTGTTATGGTGCAAAAATCTTCTGCCTTACCCGAAAGAGTTAAACCATTAACAAATTGTTCAACCCCAAAGTTTTTTCCAAAGTTAACCCTCAGCTTTTCAGTACCTCCCTATTGAGAAAAGGGAGTGAAAAATGTACAGTGTAGTTACTGGCTTCAATTCTTGTATTCTATAACTTTATTGCCAACCCCTTCAATACAAGAGTTAGATTCAGTTTCCAGATAAGAGCTCTGTTGTGGTTTTATGTTACTTGTTTGTTGTAATATATGTATATTCCTTCTAGGACACTGAGATGTAAAATATGTTATTTGCACAGAGGATATGACACTGTCTCTAGAAAACATATGTGTTTGGAATTTTATGTGGAAAATAATAATAAAAAAATATTAAACATAACAAGGGGCATACAAAATTCACAATACAGCACACTTTGATTATATACTTTAACTAAACCCCCATTATTTTTTGCCTAGGTTAGGTGTTTTTAAATAAATCTATTAAAGTTTGTGAGAATTGCAATCGTTGTTTAGTGAATAAGCGAGTGCGCTGGATTGTGTATTATGTATGTTGTATATATTGGTCCCAGCAGCACCCTATGATGTATGCATGTTCAGGTGAGTTCAGCCCTCTTGGTTTCATAAGAAGGGGCATCTCGAAAGGAAAACAATATAAAGAAGGGAAAAAAAAAGACTTCCTTAAATTAGCTATTAAAGGATTACTCCAACCATAATAACCATGCTAGTGATTTTTTTCTTTTTATATTTATTTTTATTATTT